TTTAGAGACAAGAATTTGCAGTTTGTGAAGCCATAAAAGTTATTGTAAAGCCTGTGCTGTTAACTTGTGCCATCCTGCAGCGAGCTGGAGAAAACCTGCTGCGTGGCGCCAGCGGCTCCATCTGTCGCAGTGGGAGCAGAGCTCTGGGTCCGCTACTGCGGGCTGCGTCCGAGCTGTTGCTCCGTAAAACTGGGCCTTGGATTGCAGGCTGTGAGGGCAGTTGCAAAAGAAACTTGTAAACAAGAGGGAGAATAACGGCTGTTTTAATTAAAAGTAGCTGTTGGGCAAAGAGTTGATTCATAAAGCGCTCCTCGAAGGGTGTGTGCAGCCCTGGCTCCGGGAGGCTCTGGTAAGCAGGAAAAAAAATCCGCCTTGGGGAGGTCAGTCTTAATATTGAGCCAGGTGAAAGTCACTCACTTTGCATGACGCTTGGCCAGCTACAGGGAAGCCAAAGGACTCTTTTTAATCTTTGCAGGTATTTTGTAAAGGCCGGGACTCCAACAGTTGTGGCATTTGTAAAGCGTTCTCCTTTTTCTAAGAAGTACTTCTCTGGCAAGAAGGTGCATCGGCTACAATGAGCGAGAATGAAATGAGGAATCCCGCGCAAGGGGCTGCGATTTGGTATCGCGGCCACAGACTGCACACTTCTCTTTGAACAAAAAATGCCTTGCGCACTTCAGGGAAGAAACTTCCAGGAAGGCAATATAGGAGAATGAAGGGCTTGCATGAGGGGATTATTTGTTTAAAGAGAAATCCAGCTGGCTTGCAGAAGGTCTCTGCTAGGATGGGCTGCCTGTGCTTTCGAAATAAACCTGAAGCAGTGCCAAACACCGGCTGCAGTTGAAGCAACAGCAGCTGGGAATGTTCTTACCTACCTGTGAAAAATCACCAATTGCCTTGGAGGTGGGCTGTAGCTGCTGGGGTTTAACAACAGTGGCCTGGGGAGGAACCTGCCTGTTGTGGCAGGATGGATGTGCTCAGATTCCTGCCTGGGATTCAGGAGCTGCTGTTTTATCACCGCTTGCCTCTGCTGCTGGCCAGGGCAAAGCAGAGCTCTTTGTGCAGGGAAGTGTGTTTTACGGACCCTTTTTGCTACCTTACAGGTTTTCCTGTAGAAGCTGGAAATAAAGTGTCTATTTTAAATAGACTGACTTCTGCCTGAGAAATGAAACAGTAATTTCTCTCACCTGGTGGAATGTTGCAAGAGAATGACAAACTGTAATTCTAAACCCAAATGTAACAGCCTTATCTGTTACACTAACTGGTAGAGCCAGCGCACAGGGTCTTCTGTGCTTCTGTGTTAGCACTCAGCGTTTAATTAAAAGTAATTCTCAATCACTCATTTCTTTCTCTCCTGCAATCTCTCTGTGACTGCAGAAATACACTGCGGTTTTAGGCGCATCTAGTGCACTGGGCATTAAAAAGTTGTTCAGCTGTAAACACTGTGGAGGCTGGCTTCAGACAGCCCTAGAGAAAGTGTTTCCATTTCACTATTCCTAAATTTCTGCACCATGCACAAATACAGTTAGAGGTCTTTCCATCTGAGGATGCTGACATTTAATCTCCAAAGCTTGGGGCTACTTTACAACAAGGCGGCAGGATATGACTCCCTTTTTCCCAGCACTTTGGTTCTGGCCGGCCAGCCCTCACCTCACAGAGCAGAGAGTCGAGTGGCCAAGTAGTACAAGCTCAGGCCGTTGCAGGCGATGCAGCAGAGGTTGCAGAGGGAGGCAAGAGTGTGGTAGAGGGCAAACTGCTGGCACAGCCGCTGGTAGCTGGGGTTGGAGGCACGCAGCTCCCTGCAGGACTTGCTGGTCACCAGCCCAACCTCCTGGCCGAGGCCATGGCTGCGCTCGATGAGGTGCATGTCTGCCACGATGTCGGAGGTGACCTGCCCGAACCACTGCGTGTTCAGCACAGAAGCAGCGACACAGACAAAAAACACGATGATCTGCAGGGGAGCAAAGCCTGCTGTGAACATCTCGCATGCATGCTGAGTTAAATTTCTCCCTCCAGCCCCTCTTGCACACAAGGCTCACTGCAATTTGGATGCTAACTGGTTTAACCGGAGCTGTGTGCAAACCGCGTCATTGTTTGCAAACGAGCCTCAGTGGAGAGGAGCGGACCTGGTTGGAGGAAGGGTTTGTGCTGTGGCCAGCTCGTGTTTTAAAGCAGGAGGCTACCTGGATTGTCTGTTCATCGCTGAGCAGCTCGCTGGGGTGGTACATGGCAAACAGAGTCAGGTTGAGGAAGGCACAGGCAGAGCCGATGTGGAAGTAGTAGGGGAAGAGCTCACGCTGGATGAAGCCGAAGGTGTGGCGAGGGAGGCGGCTGCCCATCACAAACCCTGCGAGGAGGGAGAGCAAGTAGGTCCTGGGGCACAGCCCCCTCCCCCCACCGTGTGCACGGACCACAACCTACCAGCCACACACGTCACCCAGAGCTGCATTCCCCAGGAGGTGGACAGGAAAAGCAGGTGCAGCAGTTTGACTGTGTTGGAGGGCTCTGTGTCAGTCGGCACGGTGTCCTGGCCGGCGATGGGTCCCTCCATGTCAGCCAAGCCGCCTCCAAATTCACTGAGCTGTTATTACTGCTGTTGCTGCGCTGGATCCAGCAAACGCCGTTTAGCTTCACAAGCCCACTTATTTGGGGAGAGTTTTGGAGCTGCCACAGCCCCAGACCTGCTGCCATGCACACGACTGGGCTGCAAACCCAATTTTCAAACCCTTTATATCTTAGGGGCAGGGCGCTGCGTCAGCACCTGGTAACTGGTCGTTTTGGGTGGACTTTCAGCAAAGTCCAGACAAAGCCCCAGCTGACCCCTGGCGCAGGAATGAGCAGAAAGTCAATAAAAAGGGGAAAAGGAAAAACCCTGATAAATGCTCCTCATGCTGCGGGCATGAAAGAGGCCTCTTGGCTGGAGAAAAGTCTCCCCGTTTGAAAACAGCAACAGCTTTTGCATGCTTTAACCAAAAAGCCTGGGGGCTTGAAGAAGCCGGGCTGGCTCACCCCACTGCTTTTACCCCACAAGGCTGGCACAAGCGTGAGAGCACGGGCAGCAGCAGATAGAAGGAAGCTTTGAAGGAGCTGCCTGCTCTGCTACGAGGAGCACTTTGGAAATTAATTAAAACAAAGCTTCTGGGAGCAGCCCATCAATTCTGCTGCCTGCTTTATTCCTCCCTCCTCTTGGCTGACTGCCTCGGAGCATGAATTACAGGGGTGTTAGCCTTGAGAAAGATGCTGCCATCTAATTACATCCCACTCCCCCTACAAAAGAGATAAATACATGCTGTGGGGTTTTATGTATCAATTCCATGTCTATAAAATCAGGTCCTTGAAACCTTCTCATGATGGCAGCGTCACGTGTTGGAGAAGGCGCTCGGATCCCACCTGAGGTGCTGGCCTGTAAATCCCCAACTCTCTTCATGGCCTTTGCTTGGCCGAAAGCTTCTTGGCAGTTTTGGGATGTTTCCCCACTCCATCCTCCAGCAGCTCTGTCCACCGTGTGACGGTAGCTGTGGTCCTTTGGTGGGGCTTTGGTCCCCGCATTGTGCTGTGTGGGAAGGCAGCAGTGGGTGCTGCAGGCAGCCAGCATGGAGCCCTGCTGCTCCTATGGTCCCAGTCTACTTCTCCAAATCATTTGCCCCCCTGCAGGAATCAGCAGCTGAGAGCTTCTGTGCAAAGAAGCCGCAGCTGGGCGGGTTCTTCAGAGCAGGGGCTGACACCCTGCTGGGCTTTTTGTTATTTTTTTTGGTAGGGAAAAAGAAAAGAAGTGATTGATGATAAATTGGCCCCAGAGCAGCACATGTGGTGAGGAGGGCAAAAAGGAGGTTCTGGGAAAGGCTGGAAAGAGGGGGCTGATGCCAACAGGCTCCAGTGCACCCACCAGCAGGTCCCTCCTTCCCTGGGAGCTGATTGTGGGATGAGGCAGTTGGAGATGGGTGCTCCAGGGATGCTCCGAACTGCCCAGTCCTGCTCTCCGCTGCTCCCGCATCGTTCCCTCCAACAGCAGATCCTGCAGGACTGCAATTTTTAGCTCCACCTGCACGAAACTCTAAGATGCTTCGCGCTGTTGCAGCTCTCCGTCGTGCTCCCATCCACTTCTCATTGCTCCTGCTCCGTCACCCTGCACCCCCAGGGACCCAGCCAGGCCGGGGCAAGGACTGACCATGGCCTTGCAGCATGGAAAAGCACAATACTCATGGAGAAGGAGAGGTCAGTTAAAGTTTAATGTTCAGGTGAATACATCATTCCCCACGCTTAATCAAGCGGCATCAATTTCTAACGATAAGTAGAAAGGATGGCTCGCATCCCGGTGATAAAAAGGCAGGATTGCTCTGAGTTTCGGGAGATAAGAGGGCTCTGTAAAAATAGTGTTTTGTACAACGTTCAGCTTGAGATGGCTTTATCTTGCGGTGATAACAGAGCAGGGGGAGGCTGGGGCAGCACCGTGCCAGGCCTTGCACAGAGATGTTTGTGATCAGAGATACGCAAAGATTAGGGGAGGCAGAGAGGCGCAGGCAGCTCCTTCTGCTCATGGCTGGGGGGGGTGGGTGCTAAAGCGCCTTTCTAGGGACTGGGTGGTGCAGAGAAGGAGAAAACACCCTGGGGTGCCTGGAAGAGACCCTGTGTTGATTTCTGGTGCCCCGCAGCCTCATCTTACCCCGATCACAGCATCACCATCACTTCTCATGGTTAAGCTCTGCAGAAACATTTGCTTGGGGTTAAGAGTACGGAGGGCTCTGCTAGCAAAGGTGAGGGCACCGCTGCCGTGTTAAACCGGCTCTGCCCGAGGGCTCCGGGGCTCATTCCCTTCCCAGCAGGCAGCAAGGCTTTCAGAAACCTCAGTGCCATCAGAAAATTTCTGGTCGTGTGACCCAGGAAAGCCCGGGAGGGGGCTTTCAGCTGGCGCGTGGCTGGGGGCAGATGTCCCCTGGGGTATGACAGATGAGCAGCCATGCCACGTTTCTGTGTCATTCCTGGAGTGTCTTGAGGAGAAGCAACGAGGCAGTAAGGTCTCCCTCTGCAAGACAGCTCCACGCTGCCATCAAAGCAGCTGGTGGGGGAAAACACCCCTGAGGGCACTCGGGTCATTAGTGCTCGGGGCAATTAGGGATGGCATCAAAGCCTTTGAGGCTCTGGGTTCCAGCATCTGCTTGCACCTACCCCCGCTTCCTCACAGCTTTGTTCAGACTGCAGGAAAAAAGGTTTGGCTTTGTCTTGTTATTTTTTTCTGCTTTTTCACTGCCCCTGAGGCAGTTTGGGGTTTGCAGCTCAAGGCGTTGGAGCACCCAACAGAGGGGCACAAGGGGCAACCCCCTGGGTCTGCACAAGCCCCCTCTGCCCCCGCCGGGGTGACACTGCCCCTGGGCGGTCCCTGAGAGCCACCAGCCGGGAGCGCTGGCTGACACCCCCCTTCCTGCAGCGCCTAGTCCTGCCTTACAGGACCCCCACGTTCACCGCAGCCCTGGGGGGCAGCAGCTCTCGGGGCGGTGTCCCCTCCTCACCCCAGGGAAAGGGCACCTGCCCGGGGTGTCCTGTGGGTGCGGGACCCCTGCTCCACGCTCACCGGCTGCACATTGAATGCCCAGAGCAGACACTCACCCAGGTATTTTTTCTTCTTTAAATGCACTTTTATTGCCATTCCTTCCACAGCCCCGCAGGGCAGGATTTCAGCCCGGCAGGAGCAGGGGTTTGTTGGCCAGCCCTGCCCGGGAAGAGGAGCCGCACCGAGCAGCTGGGGTGGGGGGGGATGTTTCACTGGGCACCCCCGTCCCAGGGAGGGGTACGGGACCCTCCTCACATCACTGCCCTCCCTCTGCCTTTGCTGCCTTGAAGGGAACTGATTTCCACCATAAAGAAATAGTAAAAAAAAAAATAAATCTGTTTTAGGAAGACTTAAGATCATAGAAAGATTCAAGTAGTATTAAGTGAATTGGAAAAGCAAGTCCTGTACATCAGTTTATAAAATTTCTAAATAAAAAAAAAAAAGGAAGAAGAAAAGACATGGTGTGTCAGTGCAAGGGGCTGTAGAGTGATGCCCCTTCACCCCAGCCCCTGGGACCTTGGTCAGGCCAAAGACCCTGGGCAGGCAGGGTCTGGGTGCCACCATCCCATGTCCCCTTCCACCATGGGGGTGGCCCGTCATCTGTCTGTCCATCTGTCAGTAAGCGAGCTGCGGCTCTAGAGATCCTGCACAATCAGGTCCTCCTTGTTCTTCAGAAGGAACTTTTCACAGGCTTCAAAGGTGGCACAGAAGTTGGAGGACAGTCCCGCCACATTGGTGGTGACATAGTTGAGGTACCCTGGTGTAGCCTGGTTGTAGTAAGCCACCTGAAAGGCACAGGAGAGAGTTACTAGGGGCATGTAGGGAAGGGGAGCCTCCCCGATGGGGTGTGGCTGGCATGGCCACAGCGTCCCACCTTGCTCATCTCCTCTGACTCTGGCCAAATGCAGAAGCCAGAGCAGAGTGTCTCCCCCCGCGTGAAGCTGGCGCTGGCAGGGTGGGTGGGCAACGTCACTGACCGAAAGGCCACCACGTAGGGGTCCCTGGAGAGGAGAAAGACCGGTGAGCGGACGTAGCTTGGCTGATGGGGAGCAGGGGGATGGGATGGAGATGGTTACCCCTTGCTGCAGGGTTTCCGTCGAGACGCCAGGATGACGAAGTCCTGTGGCTTGTTCTCGCAGCTGAGTGTCTGGCTCACCACGTGGTAGATCATGTCATCATTGTCTACTTGCTGGACGAGCTCAGCACTCCTGCAAGGCAGGACAGGACCAGTCAGAGAAACCCTGCTGTGGCCCCCAAGGCAGGGGGGTTATGCCCACCAAGTCTGGGGGTTTATGCCCACCAGCCATACCCAAAATAATTTGAGGGGTCCAAAACAGACGCCCTGCAGCACTCACGCGTAGTGGCTGTCCCACTCGTGCCGGCGGCGCAGGTCGGAGAGCAGGGAGAAAGCTTGGCCGGCAGCGATGCGAACCGACATCTCGATGCGGAATGAGAGGAACTTGTCCTCCTCCAGCGTGTACATCCGCACCTCGGGGAGCACAGGGCATGGGCTGGGACACTTCACCGCTGCCGAGTCCCCCAGGGCTGCCCACTTTTGGGGGCAAGAAGCAGCTTGGGGGAGATGGGGCAGGGTTTAGTACCTTTTCCTTTTCTCTGGCGAGTGCCCAGTTCGCTTTGGCTACGAGCATCTTTAGCGCAGAGACGTTGTTGTAGCTCAGATAAACCTGGGGCAGGAGGCGCACGTCAGGGGCAGGAAGA